CCCCCCCCCCACCAGGAGCCAGCACAGGCAGCCAAGCGTTTGACGTTATTAAATAATAAAGAGATGTTGATCTGCTGTATTGTTGCCGAGGAAAAAAGGCCAATTAGTGCGCCGTTATACTGCCATTATGGCTGTATTAACTCGAATCGTGAGCAGGACAATGTGCACGTTGACATTGGTGTTTCCTTTAACTCGGACTAGAGGACAAAATACCAGCAGAAACAACACAACAATAATAATAATAATAATAATAATAATAATAGCAATAATAATAATAATAATAATAATAAAAACATGGCAGTGTCGGTGACTAGATATCAGAACAAACACAGTTCTGGAGACTTAACAACAACTTCCACAGACATCCTGTTCTTTAAAAGGCTGATCTTAGATCAGTTTTAGCAGCAGGGTTTTCCTCGCTGCTTATAAAGGCCGTATATTGTTGTTTGTCCTCGCCTCACTCAGAAACTACCCCACTCCCTTCCTCCCCCTCCTCTTCGTCCTCACCCTCCTCCTTCTGTCCCTCCCTTTCACTCTCTCCTGGCAGTTCTATGGACCAGACGCCAGGAGTTGTGAGAGAACGGAAAAGTTCTCTCCTCCTGCAGGTTCTACCTGTACACCAGACAGCGAGGTTTAATTCTGACATTAAAGTCAAAGATTCGATACCAATCTCCATGATGGAAAGTGTGCTTACACATAAAATCCGGATTTATTTTTTATAGAAATATGTTCACGTTATTGAATGGGGATTTTCAGAATATATTCTATAAATATGATGATAATCAATGAAGAGGAAATTCGGACTTCTTACTTTAGTCTAGGATCTGAGGCAAAAAACAAAAAACAAAAACGAAATTCCGAATTCAACATTTCTACAAATATTTGGAACAGGTTAAAGTTGTGATAACAGATTCCTGCGGTAAAAGAGAGAGAACATTTCTCAAAAACATATTTTGATTTCAAATTAGTGGAAACACATTTGTTTCACAATTTTAATGGTAAAGTTAAAAAAGTGCGTCTTTTAATCGAACGAATTCGTTAGCGGAAGTTGTTTTTGTGTGTGTGGAAATTATTATTTTCTGGACGTCACAGGGTCCAGTATATATTTAGCATCAAGTGACTTTTCACAGAGACACAGGTCAGTGACGTCAGTGACGTAGGTGACGTAGGACAGACGTTCAAACATCTTCACGTTAAATCTGCTGCACCGTTGTTTTCGTGTTGTTTTATTATTTTTCCCTTCAGTTCAGACTCGCTGCATTCCTTTAATGATGCAGCAGCTCTATAAAGCTGTCAGCATCAATGAGCACAAATGATAAACGGAGCCTGAGCCGCT